GTGTTTCTAGCCCATCAAGTCCTCATAGTGTGTCCCCAGGCCATGGAGAATGCTCTCCCATCTCTCTAGACCAGAAGAAATGGGGACAAATAGAGTCATCTTGGGATTCTAGCCCATGGTGTCTGGTTCCATAGCTCAAACTCTTTGGGAGGAGGGGGATTTTATTTATCTATTCAGGCGGTACTAGGGTTTGAACTCAGAGCTCTGTACTTGTTAGACAAGCATGTTACCATTTGAGCCACATCTCCAACCCACACAGATCAAACTCTTAACTACATGGTAGGCAGTGGTGGTTGAACTTGAACATGAATCAGAGTCACCTGGAGGACTTACTTAACCACAGATGACGAGGTTTCATGCCCAGCCCAGAGGTTCTCATTCAACAGCTCTGGGTGGGGAGGGTGATTAAGTATTTGCATTTGTAGCAAGTAGCAGGTGATGTTGATGTTGCTGGTTCAAAAACTTAGAGAGTCATTTCTTTGTGGAACATAAGCCCACAAGTGTGATTTTATTTTACATTGGAGATAAAAGTGAAGGTCAGCCTCCTAGGACCTATTCTAGAGGAGTTGCTGGGTATGGAAAGGTTCTTACATGTCCCATGATAGTTTCCAAGAATGGATACAATACCTTTTTAAAGCCTCATCATTTTAGACGCACTTAATATATCAGTTAAGTAAGGAAGTCCTTGTTTAGGATGCAGATATAGATAGGTAAAGCCAGCTCAGTCATAAGAAAAGGGAGTTGCTATCGTGCATTGAACAGGTGCAGTCCCATTTTAATGTGGAGATGGTCTGCCCAGCCATGCAAAGGTAATTGTATTGCTTGTCAATCATGTTGGGACTGCAATATGCTTTTGCAAGAACATAATGCAAACACGCATCTCATTTTCTTAGGGAAATAATAGCAGTAGTTAAATATTTGGATGAATACAAGCAGGAAATGATTGCGCAATGACAAATAAGTTTACTTAAAAAAAAAAAAGAAAAAAAAAAGAACAAATGAAGGCAGAGGATGCCCCAAACTATGCAATCTGTTTGTGTAATATAATATTCACCAACCAGAAATATATTTGTGTAGAAAGGCTATTTAAAACTTCTGTACCCTACTGCCCCTTCCAACTGGAAAATAAATTAAACTTTTGAATGTGTTCAAATATAGCTGTTTTAAATGGATATCAGGGAGATTCATAAGCTCACTGGTATTCATATATAATTGTGTATGTGTGTGTTTGCACATGGGCATTTTCCTAGGGAAAATATGCATTTTTAACCAGGTTATTAGAGGCATTTGTGGAAGTTCCCCTTTCCTACTAAAAAAAACCTTTGAAAATCATTGACTGAAGGTCACTCAAATAAGAGAATCTTGAGTTATATTTTAAAGCTGACTAAGAAATCATACTAAAAATATCACTTCCCTCCCCCAATAAAAAAGCTAGAGAAAAATTTGGAAAGTATTCTGAGACTGGGTAATGATGATCTTAGTTCCAGGTCAAGGGTTTGATATTTAAAACATAAAGTCAGAATGTGTGGGTGATTTATATGCAGAAAGACGTACAAACACAGTGTAGAGTCTGTGTCTAATCTGGAAACATTCCTGGAGGATTTAGATGTGGGATTCAGTTTTGCACTGTCCAACTTTAAGAAGTTTTCTCCTGGATACTATCACAGATTTCTTACACGCAGAGTGCCATCCAGTCTCTTCAAAATACTTCTCAAGGTAACTCTGTGTAGTTGTATGAGGAAGTTTCATAATTAATTCCCAGAGAAAGCGTGGAATATCTTACTCAAGGATACCCAAAGAATAAAAACCAAAACCTTAGAGTTAGTGCTAGAAGCTTAGGCTTAGAATAAAAATAACATACATTTTCTATGATGCTCCAATGGACACCTTATTGTATCCCCATGCAACATGCATGGTACATTGAAGGCACTTGATAAGTTTTTAATAATTACATGATTAAAAGCAGGAACTTGGTAAGGCCAGCCTAATGGGGTTCCTCTGGGAGAGGGGTAGGGCTTAATTGCTGTCTTCTTCTATTGAATGCCACACTGAGTTTAGTGGGTGGGTCTCCAATGCTTTGACCTGGCATCTGGATCTACAGACCATCAGCTGTCAAACTCTTCTGAGAGGCAACTGCCTAATGAGTGAATCATGAGAGAACAGACTGGACATTGTGGCTTTCTGATGAAAATAGAGTCCAGAATCAAAGGCAAAAAGAAATATGGAAAATCTCCTCCATTTGACTCTCTGAGACTGCTCACTATTTGAAAAATTGAAATCTTATTTACAATCTATGTAATCTATGAAGTGCGTCTGTCCACAATCATCTCTGTGGGGCAGTGGGTGAGTGTGAACTTCAGGTGTCTCTCAGTAAAGAGGTAAACAATATATAAAGGGAGAAACACAAGATCTGCCTGTGTACTCAACACAAGCAAAAGAGGGCACTGAGAAAGGGAAGAGCATGGGCTGCTAATAAAAAGTCAATAATTACATCAACCTCAACAAGACTAGCTACAGTTCACTAAGCACATGTCCAGGACAGACCTCGCTAAGTTGTAACTCTACCTGGCTCTTCTTATTTCATCCTCTGTCAGCCTTGTAGGAGAAGGTGCATTCACTTTCCTATTAAGGAAACTGTGCCTGTAGAAGGGAAGTAAGCTACCTAGGCCCTTCACTTACATCTGTCTAAGGACTGCAAAACTCTTGCAGACACTACGTTGTAATTCATCACCAAGTCTCATTCAGTTAATGTTTGTAATCAGAGAGTTGCTGGCTGCGATCATACTTGTTCCTCTGGTCCCTCCATGCCCCTGAAGCAACGCCCACATATTGATGTCCCCAGAGGCTTCCTTTTAGGTATGGAAGAGAAAATAGAACACACCCTTTCATAACCTGTGCTCTTTACAAACTGGGAGTGCAGGAACCAGATGCAGATAGTGGCATCCTTAGTGACTCTTCTGTTGTGTCTCTTTCAATGGTAGATAACCTCCAAGAAGGTTCCACAAAAGCAGTCATGGCAATTCTGCAGGATCTATATAGTTTTAATTTTCCAAGGGGAGAAAAATATGGGAGCCACATAGGAACCTAGGACCAGTTCTAACTTCTTTGGTTATAATTTTAATACCAGCATAGGTTCACATTGGATATTTCATGAAGGTTGGGAGTTAACTGTATCTTCAATTAGTGATGATAAGAAAAGTTAATACCTCCTTAACAAAATACAGTTTGCTAGGTGATGTCTCAGAAAAGATGAAGACCCCTGGATATAGGAGAGAATCACAGAACAAGATCTTATCTTGGCAATTCAGGAAAGGATTGCACTTAAACATGTGTTCTATTTCTTCTTTTCTGGGAAGACTTATTTAAACACCCATACTGGACTTAGGACTGTACTTTGGAGCTCATACCCTACCTTATCACCCATCATGTTAATTGACATTCTTAGCTTGCATGTTGGCCCTGCCCCAAAAGAAAGGAATTGCTCCAAAGGTGCCATTGGTCTCTGAACAGTGCACAAGAGGGTATAAGGTATAATAGGGCCTGATTATGAGGTACTGGGTTGGACTAAAGATGTCAGTCAAACCTAGAAACCGTCCTCCAAAGGAGTTTGGGATAGAGACTAGAGGAAATCCATACTATGTCCAGAACACATTTATCCAGATAATGTTACTTCTTGGAAACAGGTGCAGTTTCTAACCTCCTTGCTAATGGCTTCCTCTAAACTCAACAAGGTTCTACTCTTGTCCAGCAAAGTTCCTGCTTTGTGTCCCACTTTGTTCTTTCCCTTCCCAACACAAGCTGACTTCTGATAGCCTAAGCCAAACAATCCAGAGAAAAGAGACTTTCCTTTTGGACACCAGGTTCACAATTTTCTTTCTGTGCAACGCACCCCAGGCTGCCTGCTATTCAGTGAAACAGTCAGTTCAGTCTCTTCCTTTTTGACCTTTACTTTGCTCTTATAGATCCTATACACATGCAAATGCCCCACACCAGTCTTTCTGCCCCTCTGCTAGCCTCCTGCAGAGAATTTTTCTTCTGACTATGGTTTCAGGATTCCAGCCCTAACACTATCAACAAAGTGATACAACCCAAGATTATAATCAGAACGATTATGAAAAATGGTGGAATCATATAATTGCATCCCATCCAAAATAGTCACAAACACATTGTGCACCATTTGGAAATGCCTGTGTCTCTCCCTGGTGAACGTGGCATTAATTAGTTATGCATGGTTATTCTCGGCAAAGAGCACATTCATTATAAGTTAGTAAATTTCAATTTTATAGCAGGTGTGTTATGTTGAGGTTTTTATAAATTGTTCATGTGAGAATAGGCCATATAATTTTACTGTATTTTTTTTCTGCTCAATACAGTAGTGAGCTACTGACTGGGGGTATCTATACACCAAAAAGCTACAATTACCATGTACTAAGATGAGATAACGATTTTCAGGCAAAATAATGTGGTGTAAATGTGCAATTTTGTATTTATGACTTATGAATCTTGCTTTAGCAATTATAGGAGCCCAGAGGGTAACTTAGTTTCTTTCTTTCTTTTTCTTCATAACTTATTATATTACCTTGGGAGTATCAAATCTTTATTTTACATTTCTGGACCTATGAAATGGGCTCGATACTGAGAGGATGAGATAAAGATTATATATGATTCCTCATGTAAAACAGCACATAGGACATGCAGATAGATGTATTTGGGGGACATGAAGAGAATTTAGGGCCAATTCATTCCATGAATTTCTTTTATCGCTTTTTTTTTGTTGGGGGAGTAGAGTACTAGAGTTTGAACTTAGGGCCTTTCACTTGCTTTCTACCACTTGAACCACACCCCAAGCCCTTTTTTCTTTAGTTATTTTTGATATAGGGTCTCACCTTTTATGCCTAGGCTAGCCTGGACCACAATCCTCCAATTTATGCTTTCTGCATAGCTAGGATGACAGATAGGTGTGCAACACCACTCCCAGCTTATTGACTGAGATGGGTCTTGCAAACTTTATCCCTGGGCTGGGCTTGAACCATGATCCTCCCAATCTCTGCCTCCCTAGTAGCTAGGATTACAAGCGTGGGCCACTGCATCTAGTTTACACTACTTTTAATTTCTTGTTTTATCCACTAAAAAGCTCAGAATTGAGTCAACTTGAATGACTTATACAAGAAACTTGATGGACCCTGTCTTACTTTTTTGCCTTTATTTTTCCTTTTTGATGATTTCATCTAGATTCATTTCTTTATATTCTTCACATGGTTTCATTGTCTTTATTTTTCAGACACTTCAAATGCACTATTTTGGAAGGGTGAGAGATGAATAAATAATGAGAACAAGAGTATTTCTCTTTGTCATCAGTGTAAAAGATGACCTAGGCTAATTCAGATTTTCTAAAAAATTTATAAGCAACAAAGCTTTTAAGAAAATGCACTTAACCCTTTTAGTACAGTCTTGAATGTAGATCAAGAAAGATCCATAGATCAGAAAGGTAGTCACAATGGCAGGGAAACCCCGTTTCAGACGCTTGGGTATAGCTCAACTTTTCATACAGGAGAGTTCTCAACTGAAGCCTAATTGACTATGGATTAGGGATCTGTAGTGCATCCCGGGTACCACTGCCTCACTCCATTCCTTTGTGACAGCCAATAATGTCTCTGGACTTTGCAACTATCCTCTCTTCTAGGCTGTTGCCTTAGAGACATCCCTCCCCCCATGACCCCAGAGGATAAAGAGAGAGTAGCACTTCAGGGTTGTCCTCAACCAAGTCAGCATTTTTCTTTTTCTTCTTCTTTTTTAATCATTCACCACCTTTATTGGTCTTCACTTGGCAATATGAAAGTCCATGCACAGGACCAAATGGGCAGTAGGGCTTAAATCAATTCCCACTTTCCCCACAGAGGAGAAAGGAAGGCCCATGCCATCTTGGAAAATGCAAAAAGGCAAATTAATTCCGATTTCATTGGTCTTTTCAATGTCTGCATGTGACATAACACCTAATTTTCTCAGGCAAAGGTGCACGAACCTGGAAGCGCACAAAGTCTTTCGGTAGGGGAGCAAGTGATTTTTATGTATGGGAAACCTCATGTCCCTTTGAATTCAAGGGGGGTAAAAGTGGTCCAACCTCCTTAATAACCAGATTTTTGCAACCATCAGAAATATATCTTCGGCTGTAACCATTTCTCTGTTCTCCAGCATTCAGTCTCAAAGAGAATTTACATAACAACATGTGACATGTAGAATGCTTAAAGGCACCAACCATGACAGGACAAATTACACTCATTTTTCAAAACTCTGCAAGGTGCTCTGCGGCAGGCGCGCGCCAGGCTGCATGCTGGGGCGGTTCTGGTGGGGCGGTCAAGACCATCATGCACGAGCAAACACTCCGTGCCTCTGGGGAGTGAGGGCAGGTGCATGGGGCCCCCCAGGAGGCTGTGCCACTTACCCGCCATAGGCCGGGATGGGCGGCGGGGGCGCCGCGGCTCGGAAGGTGTTGTACACGGTGCGCCCGCGGCCTCGCAGGTGTGCCCCTCGGTAGGCGGCCGCGGCGGTGGCGGCTGGATACGGGAAGCCGGGCACTGTGGGCGAGAAGAGAGAGGACCACGAAGACTGTGAGATGGACACGCTGCCTGGCAGGGACCGTTTGTTTGCCCAGGACTGTGGGGGTGCAGGACACGATCCCTCCACCCCCTTCCAGGAGTTAGGAGACAAAAAGCAGATAGCGGGGCTGAGGCTCCAGACTGATTTTGATGAAGATGAGATAGTTAAGATGGTGGACCCCGTATCCAGGAAGTTGTGGTAAATGACAAAGGTTCACAAATAATTCCAAAGAACAGGGGAAAAACTCACCGCATGAACTTAAATTTTTAAGAAGGTAGATTGTAAGCGTATGTGCCATGTATGTGCGTGCATATGTATGTGTATTTGCATACGTGTATCTGTTTCTGAAGACACAGTATACATGGGTGTGCATGTATTCTTATGCACATGTGTAACGGCTTATGAACATACATGTGCATGTATACACTCGGATTTATATATGTGTGCATATAAAAATACATAATTATATACATGTGTGCACACATTTCCACACGCCAGAAACTATTCCCGGGGCCAAAATGCATGAGTAAGAGTTCATTTTTTTATCTCTAATTTTCCAATCATCCCACTTGTATGTATTTTCCGCGTTTCTCTTTATGCCCATCTATGGCTTGTCTTAAACTTTGAATTGAAGCATTGGTACAGATGTGTGTATGTGTTATGAGTACACAAACCACTCCTCTGTCTCCAAAATAAATGGCTACCAGAATTTCACAAGCCCCCTAACTCTTCTGCAGCTTTTCAAACCAAACACAGTGTCCATAACTACAGACAGAAAAGTTTAGGACTCAGCTCTCAGGAACAGAACAAGGACAGGGTTTTTCTTCCTTGGGGAACATGTCTCTCAGACACAGGGTGGAGTGTTGGGGTGGAGGGAATTTTGCCTGGTGATTCCTTGAGACTCCTGAAACTTACATCTGTGACTATTTTTCTTGGGAAAAGCATCCCAACCACCCCATTCCTTCCATTGCTATCAGCATCCTTTTCCTTCATGGACCATGGGGTCGGTTGTGGAAGGAGTAAAAAAGATGTTGGAAGGAAAAAAGAATGTATGCATGAAAGACCTAGGAATCACAAGCTGTTACCTAGGAGGTTGTGAGGTGGCCATATAGTGACCATGAAGGTCTAAGAATTACACCTTAGATCTGTGGGCAGAGCATAATTGTACCTATATCATGAATGAGAGAGAGTGGAGTTTCCTGCAGAATTCCTGATTCTATACCACCTATGGGCTGGAATCAAAGCCTTGAACTTGGAGACAAACTGGCTGTGATTACCTGGACTTCTTTGTGTGATCTTGAAAAGTGAACAGATTCTACCACATTTTTATGGATTCTACTACATCTTTCTCTTGCAATGAAAGTAAAATGTTAGGATCACAGAACCAAGCCAGAATGGTTTCATCTTTCTGTTTGCCCATAAAGGCTATTTTTCACTGTTGTTGTTAAAGACAAATTGTGCAATTTTATCTAACTCTCTTGCCATCCCCCACACCTGAGTTTCCTGAATTAAATTACAACTGACATGCCTAAAGTTGTAGAGATGAGAGTTGTAATGGAGGAAGCAGGAAACTCCTCACATTAGGCCCCACCAGTAATGAGATAAGAGACCCTTGGCTTCAGGACTGGGAAGAAAATAAGTGAGACTCCAAATCTATCTTGCCACAGTTCAAATATTAAGTTTTCATAGGAACGCCCTGGATTTTGAAATAAAGCGAATGAGAAACGTACAATCTGGCTGAGCAGCTGGCTGCCTATGTGAGGAAACACGGTAATTATGCTGACCCATTCATTATCACTGGCTGTGGTGCCACGGGAGCAAGACAAGATCCCTCTCAGCGACAAGCAGATTTTACAATCAATCTTGGAGGATTTAGATATTGAGATATAACATGAAACAGAAGCTCAACATTGGAGAGCAGGGAGCACGGGCTGTTCAAAGTGGAAAGCCAGGATTCCATTTTTGTGCCCTCTTTGTTGCGGGGAGAAGATGTCCTTCCCCTTGCCCTGCAGGATGAGGTATTTACAGGTCCTAAGGCAAGTCTCTCTCTCCAAACAGGACACATTAAAGGAATTTTCATTCTGTTAAGGGAACACAGGAAGGACCACAAAGCAGCTTCTGGCTAGCTTGTTGCCTTCAAGGAGGTCAAGTCCCTTGGAATATAACAGAGCTTCCAGAACTCATGTCTTAGGCCAGAGGCTTATGGGGTAAAGTATGACCCAGGCTCGTCTCCCGGGTAGATGCTCCTTGGAGTTCTCCCTTGGTTGTCAGTGTAGAGTTGGCTCATGGGTCCCTTTATCAAGTGTCATTACTCATCATGACCAATGAGCATTTCTTTTCTTTTTCCCTTCTTTTCTTACTTCTCTCCCTAACTTCTTATTCTGGTTCCTTTCTTTTTTTTCCTTCCTTCCCTTTCCCTCCTTCCTTCCTCTCTCCCTACTTCCTTCCTTTTTTTTCCTTCCTCTCTTCCTTCTTCCCTCCCTCTTCCCTTTATTTGCTTCTTCCTTTCCCTCTTTATCTTCCTCCTTCCTTTCATTCATTCCCACTTTTCTTCACTTTCACATTTTCATCCTTCCTTTCTATTTTTTTTTTTTTTTTTTACAAACTTCCTTCTGCAGAAGGCTTTCCTGATTCTCCTGTGATGCTGGTAAAAGCAAGTAGCTTAGGTCGCAGACATGAAGGAGACTGGTGGTTGAATATGAGCTCCATGAGAGCAAGGCTCTCCATCTGTTCTGCAGTTTGGTTCACCCGGCATGTGTCATGTAGCTAATCCTGTGCCTTGTCACCACGTCACTGGTTAGCCAATGTCCACCTCTGTCTTTCTGGGAGACTACAGCCTCTCCTCTTCTCTGTCCACCTTCTGTAACACTGCCCTGGGTACAAAGAGGCTGCCCAGATCTGCAGATTAACATTATACAGGAGACATACTTGATTTAGGTCAGGATCCCTAGAAAAAGCATTACTACCTCCAATCTTACAGGTGCTGAACTGGTCCATCAAATTTAACCAGATACAGAACACATGCCATTCCAATGGAAGGTGAGACTGCTTGGACAAATGGATTGCATTTGGAATTATCACAGCCCTTGACTCATTTCCTGCAGATTTAAATGCCTGGCAGGCTTTGAACATCCTTCTTCTTCTAGGGAAAATACCCCAGAAATATAGTACCTATTTGAAAGGTATTCAGTCACATCACTCACTCCTGATGACCCGACACAATGTCTTCCCTTGCTTAGTCACAACACTCCCTGAACACAGTAATCATGTGTAACAGGAGCAAGGAAATGACCATCTGTATGGACCCAAACCTACCTGATTGGCAGCTTAGACTTCTGTGTTTTACCCCTTTTCTATTACAGGGTTTTTTACACAAAGGCTGGTTTAGGGCAACATGGCTTTTGTCTTATAACACTAAGACAAATGGTCACTTTCAAGGGCAAAAAAGTACAACTGTTTTTCAAACTTCCTGTAAACTCAACATGGAAAGGAAAGAGTCGAATTTTTCTTACTTGCCTACTGGATGTGCTGGCATATAGATACTGGGATGTGGCTAAGTGTACACTTGAAGCAATTACTTGAGCAGATGATTCAGATACAAATCAAACAAAGCCAAAATGTATTTTGTTTCAACCATATAGAAAGAAAACATTTTATAATGTTTTTTATTAGTGTGTGTAAATTGTAGAAGATAATGGGTTTCATTATGATCTTTTCATAGATGTATACATGACCATATTTTGATTATAGTTACTCCCATTACACTCGTTTTCCTTCCCCCTCCAGCCTTATCCCCTTCCTCTTCCCAAATAATTGCCTGAAAGAAAACATCTTAATGATGTGCTTATTCTGTAGCATGCCACTTATATTTTGTTGAGTTACAGGTATTTTCATCTATCCACACCCTAGTTCAAGAGTTTAAATCCAGTAAATATGCAATAAATGTTTAATAAATTCAATTCAAAATGTCAAACAAAACTCATAGTGTCTTCTTCATTTCTGGACAGGAGTAAAGCAATGTTAAAAGACATAAATCTGATACCTGTCCAATAGAGGTAAATGCCTCTTTGTTAATTAAAGAACAGTATTAAAAAAGAAAGAAAGAAAGAAAGATACCAAACTATAGGCATATCTGAACCACAGTAGTGAAGTCTGACTTTTTCCTAGTTAAGCTTCAGGTTATTAAACATGTAAAGAGACCACCCATCAGAGACAATGGGAACTATTCAGGTTGATTTGTGGATCCAGTATAAGTCCTTAGTTTCTGGATGAAGGAGACAATGGAGGAAAAACCGGCAGGTGCCCTTGTAAACCTTATCAGCATGAATCAAAGTGAAAAATCAGATATTGCTACAATGGAAACTGAATTTAACTCAGAAGCTACAATTGAATTCTTCTCAAACCAAAAACAAAACAAAACAAAAAAACAGGGTAGGAGCCTTAGGAGCAAAAAACACACATCTTGTTGAGACATCACTATTCCCAGCCTACCCACTCTCACCCTTCAACTAGATTTATACCAGTACCTAATTTGGGGAGATTAGTGGAGTAACCACCTCACCCTTGAGAACAAGGAGTTCTATACTGTGGAAACTCAATGAAATAGAAACATTAGGGATGTAACAAGAGGCATTGGAGGAAGCTCAAATACCAAAGCAAGTCAATGTTTTTAAACAGAGTACTTGTGGGTTTATCAACCAGCCAGTCCAGCCATTTACCAAAGTGTCAACTGCTTACTGGCTATCTCCCCTTCATGAGAAAGCCTCCATCTCCAAAGGGCTCCAAGTTCAATGTATTTACAGTGACTGGGGTGTCTCTTATGAACATGGTGTTTACTTTTGAAAATAAACACAAATGACATCATTTCACCAGCCTGGAAATCCCAAGGGAAGAAACACAAACGCAGTGGAAAATACTTGAGGGTTATAAACTGCATATTAAAATTTTAGAACTGTGGGAGAGATGGAAGAATAGCAGA